CCCAAGAGGCCCCCAAGATCGCCCCCAGAGCGCCCAAGAGGCCTCCAAGATGGCCTCAGGACTGCCCAAGAGGCCCTCAAGACGGCCCTAAGAGGGCACAAAGACGACCCAAGAGGCCTCCAAGACGCCCAAAATGGCCTCTACGACGGCCCTGGAGCACCCCAAGAGGGCCCCCAGTCGGCCCAGAAAGGCAGCCCAAACGGCTTCCGATGGCGTCAGACGGGCCAGGAGCCCACCAAGATAGCCGAAGTTGGCTCGAAGCTGGCCCAAGACGGCCCAAGAGGCCTCCAAGAGGGCCTCCAGGAAGGCCAGAAAAAACCAAAAACACTACATTTCCTTAGGTTTTCGAAGGATTTTGCATTCGCTTCTTTTCTGCATTCCGACGGCCCGAGACGGCCCAAGAGCACCCAAAGATCGCCCAAAGATCGCCCAAGAGGCCTCCAAGATGGGGCCCCCAAGACGGCCCCAAGAGGCCCCCAAGACGGCCCAGGAGACCTTTAAGACACCCAGGATGGCCTCTACGACGGCCCTGGAGCATCCCAAGAGGGCCCCAAGTCGGCCCAGAGACGCCCCCCAAACGGCTTCCGACGGCGTCGGATGGGCCCAGAGCCCACCAAGACGGCCGAAGATGGCCCTAAGATGGCCCAGGACGGCCCAAGAGGCGCCCAAGAGGGCCTCCAGGAAGGCCGGAAAAAGGCCAAAATCATTGACTTCCCATGAATGTTTGAAGGATCGTGGCATTTGCTTTTTGTTCGGCCTTCCGACGGCCCGAGACGGCCCAAGTGCCCCCAAAGATCGCCGAAGAGGCCCAAGACGGCCCAAGAGGCCCCCAAGACGGCCCAAGAGGCCTCCACGACGCTCAAGATGGTCCTCAAGACGGCCCAAGAGCCCTCCAAGACGTCCTCCAAGAAGCCCGAAAGGGTCAAAATGGCCTCCAGACGGCCAAGATGACCTTCAAGATGCCCACGTGTTCCCCGAAGGTTTTCCAAACCGATTCGGGGATCACATGGTCCCATAGCTTGGCAGGTCTGGCCTCAACGTTCGGCCACATAGGCGCTTCCAAAAAGGCAGGGGGCGGCGGTGATTCGCCGTAGGCCTCTTCGATCCGCCGCCCTTTGTTGGCCTGCCACAAGGGTGCCCGGCGTGCTAAACCCTATCGCTCTTGGTTTCAGTACTTCTCCAAAAGAACTCTCCTTGGGGCTTCGGCCCGTCCCGCCGGCCACCCGAAAGGGACCATAAACGAGCACAACGTGCAAAAAAAACCTCGAAGACGGCTCGGGATGACCTCTAAGATGGTCACGTTGGCCCAAGATGGCCTCCAAGATGTCTCCAAGACGGCCAAGATGACCTCCAAGACGGCTAAGATGGCCCCAGGTTGCCTCCAAGACGGCCTAAGATGCACCCAAGACGGCCTCAGATAGCCCCCAGATGGCCGAAGCCGGTCCAAGAGGCCCCCAAGAGGCATTCAAGACGGCCCAGGAGGCCTCCAAGAGGGCCTCCAGGAAGGCTCGAAAAGGCCAAAGTCATTGATGTTCCTTAGGTTTCTGACGGATTTTGTCATTTGCACCTTTTCGGCCTTCAGACGGCTCAAGACGGCCCAAGAGGCCCCCAAGGTCGCCCCAAGATCGCCCAAGAGGCCTCCAAGGCGCCCAAGATGGCCTACAAGACGGCGCTGAAACGCCCGAAAAGGCCCTAAGTCGGTTCAGAAAACCCCCAAGACGGCTTCCGACGGCGTCAGACGGGTCAGGAACGGCCAAAGAGGCCCCCGGGAAGCCCCCAACGGCACCCAAGAGGCCCAAGGAGGCCCCGAAGATGCCTCCAAGAGGCTCCCAGAAAGCTCACAGGAGGCGCCAAGAGTGCCCCCAGAGGCTCCCCAGATGCCGCCTCCTCCTCCTCCTCCTCCTCCTCCTCCTCCTCCTCCTCCACCTCCTGATCTTCCCCGCCATCCTCCCACAAGGGTTCCCCGGGAGGTTTCCACAACCTCTGGGGGAACACATGGTCCGATAGCTTGGCAGAGCACTTGCCACAACGCGCGGCCTCATGAGCGCTTCCAACAGGCAGGGGGCGGCGGTGATTCGCCGTAGGCGTCTTCGATAACGCCAACGTCTCCATATTCGCTGACGCTTCCTATCTGCCCCCGCATGATATTCCCAGTTGCGCCAAGGCAACACCAAGACGCACCGACTCGACTCTGACATATCCAATTATGGTACAGAGGAGACCAGCGGCAGGGGGCGAAGCCCTTACGGATGTATAGATCTAGATACACATGTGTGCACGTATGTGTATACATATAGATGGATCGACAGATCGCCTCTGACCCACCCGCGACCCCCCACCCCCCGCGAGCTCCCGCGCGCTCGCGAACGCGTGCAGGAGCGCGTGCGTGGGGAGAGGAGGGAGAGCAGGAGGGAGGGACAGAACGGAGGAGAGGGGGGCGGGATGGAAGGGAGGAACAAAAAAGAGCAGAGTGGAGAGGGAGGAGAGAGGGAGGAGGGGGCAAGCCAGACGTTCGCGCGCCATCTCTGACATCTTACCCCCCTCCCACACATCCATTCGCAGTGCGTGTGTTTTTTCTTCTCGATCCCCCGACGCGTGTCACAGCGGTCGGAACTTCCCAGAAGGACCCGATCGGGTTATGCGCAATCGGAAGGAGGGATCTGATCGAGGGCAAATTAGGCGGACGAGGAAGGAGGAGAAGGAGGAAGAGGAGGACGAACAGCAGCAGCAGGAAGTCAAGTGGAAGGAGCGGGAGGAACAGGAGGGAGGGGGAAGGCGGAGGGGAAAGGAGGGGGGCGACAACGATGACGAAGGACCTGGATTCGGAAAAGTGCCCCCCCCCGCTGAAGCGAGAGCCCAATTCTGAACGACGGGAGCCAAGCGACGATCCGAAAAGGAAGCCCACCCTTCAGCGGGAACACCATTTCGAAGCACCGAAAAACAACTGGAAAACAACAACATAGGGGGGAGCATGTCCATCCCTGCGAAAAAATACCCAGAAAGAGTAGGGCATGTTTGAACAGGCTAAGGGAAAAATGGAGACCAGCATGCACAATGCGTGTCTGTGGAATGGGAGATGGAGGCGGCGTGGAAAGCAGCAAGATGGGATGGAGGAAGAGGCAGGAAAGGTCGGTCCCCTCTTCCCCCTCTTCAACTAGAGGGGAGGAAGAGGAGAAGGACGAATACATTGATGACAGGAGCTAGGCAACCTGCCCTCAGTCGAGGGAGGCAGAGACGACCGATAAAGGCGGGACGACAACGTCAGGTTCAGGCAGCTGGCCCCAGCAGGCTGGCGAGGGAAGGGCCTCCTCGCCGAGCCGCCCATCGCATGCGGTCTCTCCAGAAAGCCTTGAGTTCGGCATGGGAGCGTCATCCCGGGAGGAAGAGAGGGGAGAGGGAGGAGGAGGAGGAGGAGGAGGAGGAGGAGGAGGAGGAGGAGGAGGACAGAGGTGAGGGCGGGGAGGGAGAGCAGCACCAGGTCTGCCCCACCCGCCCTCGGGGCCCTCGCGCGGGCCTTCTGGATCGGCATCTTGCAGGAGGGACACATTTTCGCGTTCCTCTGCACGACCTCCGCGGCACTCTTCCAGCATGTTCCTCCCAGCTCCTTCTGATCCCCCTCCTCCTCCTCCTCCTCCTCCTCCTCCTCCTCCTCCTCCTCCTCCTCGTTCTCCTCATCCTCCTTCCGATCCTCATCCTCCTCCTCCTCCTCGTCCTCGTCCTCGACTTCCTCTTCCTCCTCTTCCTCCTTCTCCTCGTCCTCTTCCTCCTCCTCCTCCTCCTCCTCCTCCTCCTCCTCCTCCTCGTCCTCCTCATCCTCCTTTTGATCCTCCTCGTCCTCGTCCTCGTCCTCGTCCTCGTCTTCCTCCTCCTCCTCCTCCTCCTCCTTCTCCTCCTCCTCTACTCATAATATGTTGCATAACTCGTAAGCCCGTCCCAGGAAACAAGAGGGTCGCCAGCGGGGCTTGCGCAGTGAGGCCTCCCAAGGACAGGCCACCAGTGGGGGCGCGGCGCTGCCTGGACGTGCCTCGCCCGAGCCCCGTCGCTGGGGCACCGCCCGCGCTGGTCGGGGAGGGGGCCTGCCCAGGGGGTTTAGTTTGGGGTGCAGTATATCATTTGTTTGGAGGATCCTCCTCTTCCTGATTATCATCCACCCTTCCACCTCCTCTCAGCTCTCCTACTTCGGGCCTCTTTTTCAGCCTCGCCCCTACCTCCTCCTCCTCCTCTTCCTCCTCCTTCTCCTCCTCCTCCTCCTCCTCAACCACTTCCTGCTCGACGCTGAATATAGTATCATGCATTCCTAGACAAACTGCTCACAATGGTAGCTTGGTCGACCATGCGGTTCGCTGCACCGACACATACGACATCAGAAGCCAGCCAGAGGTCCTGGACTCCTCCGCCTCCTCATCCTCACATGGTGCCGTCGGGGGGGGGACAATAGGAACCCATACCGCCCGCCACTGCCAGGACCTCTCGGGTGCGTTCTGAAACGGATTCCGAAGCGAATCCAGCAGTGGCGGGAAGGGTCCAAAGAACCAGCGGCACCTGACGGTGGAGAGCGCACCAGGCGCGAAGAGCACACAGGTGCACCCCACCCGAAGCTGGGGGGGGCCCAGGCCCTGGCCCCTGTGCCAGCTGCAGCTGAAGAACAAAACACGGCATCAGCACAAACTAAACGGCAGTTGAAGAAAAAACGTAGACATAAACATAGACATAAACATAAACATAAGCCCAAACTGAACGGCATAAGCAGAAACATAAACTTTTGGCGCCCCCGCGCGAATTTCTTGGATACGTGCTGGGCACCCCATCCGGGGGCGGCGCCAGAGGAGCCGCCTGGGGGGCCCAGCGCGGATCCGAGAGATCCGTGCGGAGCGCCAGAAAGTGTATGTGTGTGTGTGACGTCTTCTCTTCCTCGGCCTGCGCCAGCTGCATTATCGTGGACTCGCGCCCTTCTCCTCCGGACATCCCCCCCCTCGGCGCTTCCGCACCCCCGGCCGCGCTCAGTGCTTGCTCCCGCACGTCGCGTAGCCCAGGTCGCCCCTCGGGCGGCAGTCCTTGGCGTGCCGTCCCCGGTTGGGGACCAGGCACCACTCGTGCTCTCCCTGCCCCGTCTTCCGGCGGCGCCCACCAGGAGGGGGGGGGGGCGCCCCGGGGGACGGCGGCCTCGTGAGGTGGTGGGAGCTCCTCCTCCTCCTCCTCCTCCTCCTCCTCCTCCTCCTCCTCCTCCTCCTCCTCCTCCTCCTCCTCCTCCTCTCTCCTCCTCCTCCTCCCCTCCTCCTCCTCCTCGAGGATCCTCCTCCCCTCCTCCTCCTCCTCCTCCTCCTCCTCCTCCTCCTCCTCCTCCTCCGGCCTCTCGGAAGCCATCCTGCCGTGCCTAAGAGGTTCTCTGTACAAGAAACCTCCAGGCCCTTTCAGCAGCGACCAGGAGGACAGCGACGAGTCAAGCGCGCCAGCATCCCGAGCGAACGACGAAGCGAAGCCGAAAGTTCAGAGCCCAACGCCCAGGAAGAGGCTGGCACCGCACGATCGCGACACCGACACGAAGCACCACGGAACGGCCACGCAAAGTGACACGAATAGGCTGCGAGCGAGGGGGGGAGTGAGAAGGGGCGGGCCTTCTCAGAGGGCTCGGAAGTTTCCAAGCTTTCTGAAAGTTTCCCAAGCCTTCCCCGAAGACATCGACAATTCCCCAGAAGGCGCGAGGGCTTCTGAGAAGTCCCGCCGCCTTCCAAGAAGGCCTCCTCCTTCTCACTTCCCCCCCTCGCCCGCCGCCGAACGGAGCACCAGAGAGCACGGGCCCACACCGAGCCAAACGGGCGCTGTACTCGGCCGCTGTCGGCGGTGGACAAACCTCCCTTTAGCAAACCTCCCCTCAGTGAAAACGACCTAAGGCCGAAATCGACGGACCTGGACACGCAAAAATGACGGCCGCGACGCCCTTTCGCGAACTTTTGTGGTCTGCGGGGCGAGAGCGAAACTCTTCCGCTAAAAGCTAGGCGGGCTACGCACAGCTCTCATTAGGGAGACAGGGCACAGGAAGGCGGGGCCTCAGGCGGCCGGAGCGGGCGGAGCCCGGGGTGCAGGCGGTGCCGAAGAGCTTGCACAGGAAAAGGTACGCCGCGGACAGGGACCCGGGGCGAAGACCCGGAAGGCGAAGGAGATGGTGTTGCCGTCAACGGCACGTCGCGAACACAATCCTCAAGCACTGCAGAGGAGGACGCGCCACTTGACCAGGTCGACGCCCAGGAGCCCTCTCGCGAACAGAAGACGGCCAATTCGCGAATCGACGTGTCAGGGTAGGAGGCCTCACCACCTCCGACACGCAGCCGACCCTGGCGGGGCGGAGTCCTGGGCCAGGGAGGGGCCCGACCAGGATCGGGGTGGTGGTCAAGTGGCGCCTTCCGCAAACAAGTGGTCAGACCCCCGACGTCATAATTTGGTTCATGATTTGGAGCCCTCTCGCGAACAGAAGACGGCCAAGTCGCGAATCGACGCGTCAGGGCAGGAGGCCTCTCATCAGAGCGCGAATTACCTACCCCGCTTTCGCTTCCAGGCGAAACCGAGCCATACCACGCGCCTCCTCATCGAGCTGCCTGACCAGTGCAGGCCGTAGTGTGGCATCGCTTGGTATCTCTTGGAAGCGAGGGTGGTCAAAAGCGAGGTAGGTTTGTTTGCCCCATATCTCCACCTCCGACGCGCAGCACCCGAGAGCACGGGCCCACGCCGGGCCACGCGGGCGCTGCGCTCGGCCCCTGCCCCCCTCCGAGGAGGCCCCCGTGCACTGCCCCCCGCTCCTCCCCCCTGGGAGGAGGAGGAGGAGGAGGAGGAGGAGGAGGAGGAGGAGGAGGAGGAGGAGGAGGGCAAGGAGGGAGGAGGAGGAGGAGGAGGATGAGGAGGAGGAGTGAGGGAGGAGGAGGAGGAGGAGGAGGAGGAGGAGGAGGAGGAGGAGGAGGAGGAGGAGGCAAGGGAGGAGGAGGAGGCAAGGGAGGAGGAGGAGGAGGAGGAGGAGGAGGAGGAGGAGGAAGAGGAGGAGGAGAGGAGGCCCCCCGCCGCCATTGGAGGAGGGGAGAGAGGCCGCCCCCCTCGCGCGGCGCCACCGCCCGCGCGGGGTGCGCGCCGCCGGGGCTTGGGCGCGCCCGCGCACTTGCCGTCGACGACGGTGAGGCCGACCGGCCACAGCTGGGGGAGCTGTGCTCCTCACTGCCAGGTCGGGCACGTCCTCCTGCAACAGCGGGCTTTTTGGGACGAAAACCTGTTTTCAAAAAAAGAGAGAGAGAGAGAGAGAGAGGGCAAATCGTCCCCAGACGAGGTTTGGACCATGCTCGAGTCTTCCTCCGGTACAGGGGGCATGCCCGCCTCGGCGCAACTGGCAGGAGGCCAGGGGCAAGGCCGGGCAGACGCAGCCCTGGATCTCCGAGAGCGGGCGGGTGCACAGGCCGCATCGGGCGCCGCCGCTGCCGACGCGCCGCGTTCTGGAGCGCTCCGAGAGCGCTCCCGAAGAGCAACCTCGCGCATCCTGCTTCTCATTCTGCCTGCCTGCTTCGACCCCGTCCGGGGGAACCTCTCGTATCGACGATCTCTCGAGAGGGTGGTCGATTCGATGCCCAACTCCAAAGATGCGTCGAACCCCTCTCGAGACATCGCCGCTACGAGTGGGGACATTCGAGAGATCCTCGACTTCTGAAGATTCGAAGTCTGGGAACCCATCGGCCTCGGCACTGTCGAAACCGACGACGAGTACCCCAGGGAGGTAGTAGAGACCTCCCAGATGGGGTCCGAGTAGATGGGGTCGGAGGATCGCCGATACATCGGCGATGCGTTGCCGATGCATCGGCGATGCATCGGTAATGCATCGCCGACGTCGGCGACGCATCGGCGATATCGGCGCGAAGAAAATCGAGCTCCGCATCGTCATGCATCGACGATGAATTGGGCATTGGCGATACGGCGCGATCCTCCGACCCAATCTACTCCGAACCCATCTAGGAGGCCTAGAGTTAGAAAATTCAGCTCCCCCAATTGTGCCTGGTCTGTAATGCCACTCGTCTTGCGGACCGGGACGTCCCCAAGCCTCCAGCTCCGGGACAGCAGCATCTCTGGGCTGACGACCTTCTTTCTGCGCATCAGCTCGCCGGCCCACTTCGTGCCGTTGTTCACGGCGAGGGCCAGATCGAGAGGAGCTTCCAGGACCTGGTCCAAGTAACAACGAGGCGCAAGTATGAATCGGTCGTTCACTCCCCACCCGCTAAAGCAATCTTTCACGATGACTTTGCCCTCGACTGACGTGCTCATCGGCTTTGTGACTATTCCGTTGTCTCTGATCTTCATGACGGCCGTGTGTTGGCACCCTGTGGACTTCTCGTGTTCCTTGATTAATGCTGCGCACTGGGAAAAATGAGTCCACTGAGCTAGATGACCCCTCAGTAGCGGTGTTCGTTCTTTCTCCCCCTTCTCCGAACCATATTTGTGCCAATTTTCCAGATTGAGGGTAACGTCTTTATGGTACCCTGGCTTGAGATACATACCGGCCTGGTAGAACGGACTGAGCACCGCTTCGACTTCGGAAGGTGAATGGAAATTCTGGTGGCACGTGTCATTGTCATCCTTAGCCTGGGCGGTCTTGGAACTGACGTTAAAAACAGAGCCGGTCTGTGCAACCACGAAGGCATGCACGCGTTCATACGTCTTCTGTTGCTCCACATATTGAAACAGGTTGGTCAGCTTCGACTTTGTTTCCAAGCGGGCAAGCTGACCGACAATGCACACGGCCAAACTGCTTCGGCAATTCCCAGGTGCTGCGGCCTCCTCGACACGCTGCACAGAAGATGAGCGATGCTTGATGAAAGTTGGTCCAACCTCAAAATTCGGATCATCAGTGCTGCTGAACCTCAAAGCGCCGCAGGCTGACAAATGCATCAATACGCACGCAGCGCGCATACTTTGCATCTTCCCTATGCGAGACTGCGAGTTTCAATCATGTACGGGTCCAGTGCGAAATGGTCCTTGCCTCGAGCAAGAACTCTTTGAGCCAAAAAGGCCACGGAGGGGTAGTAATTGGCTGTCGTGGTTGGCGTTGGGGTTCTCTGACGGCCATGTTGGGACCCGGATCCTCGCGAGCCGTCATAGAGCCCTCTACAAACCTCTTCATCAACTGCATTCCTCCAGGACAGCACGTTTGGACTGCAGCAAGTGGCTCTGGCCATAAGAAACCAGGTTGATCGTCAGCACGATCTGGAGGCGACTGCGTAACCAAGATCAAAGGGAATTGAAACAAACAATCTGCGACCATTGCTTTTTGTATGCCCGCCGGCTCAATATAGGATAGCTGCGCTTCCGCGCCGATTACCTGGAAGCATTTTGGACCCCCCTGTGTGAACGCCAACACGCATGCGGCTCTTCATATAACGAACCACGTTGGACCAGAAGCAGAAAGGGAACTCTCTACTATCCAGCCGACTGTGCACAGAGCCTGCCGAACCCTTGCGTGACAATACTGAAGATGCTGAAATACGCGCGGGCTTCGCGCGCTCAGGTTCCCCCTGCACCTGGACCACCCCTCCATCTCCCCTCTCCTGCCCTCCGTTATCCTTCCTTCATGCCTTCCCCTCGACTTCCCATACCACTCCCCTGGCCTCCGTTCCACTCCTCTTCCCCATCCCCGTCTTCCTCCCTCTCCTCCTCCACCTCCTCCTCCACCTCCTCCTCCTCTTTCTCTTCCTTCTCATCCTGCTCCTCGACCTCCCCTTCCTTTTCCTCATCGTATCCGCACTATGCCAGGACCGTGGGGTCAAGACTCTGCCCGCGCGTCGGGCTCCGCCCCCTGGCTGCCTCAGGACCTCCCCTCTTGGGGCCGTCATCCACCGCCACTGAGGCAAAACGTCGACTGGGCAGGATCCTTGCACAAACATCCCTTTTGTTTTGTTTGTTCGGGCCTTCTGGGGGCATCCCTGGCATGTTACGTACGTAGACGCTTCGGGCCGTCTCGGCGCTCGCTCGGGACCACTTGGATGCATGCCAGAGGCAGGATCTCAGAGGCAGTCCTGCACTATCCGAGGCACTGTTTGGGGCCCTCTGCGGCAACCTTATGAGACGCGCAATGGGATCGCGCACCCCCCCGTCCAAACTCCCTGGAAGGGGGCAAGATCCTTGCACAACCCCCCCTTCTAATTTTCACTGCTCGGGCCTTTCGGGGTGCACCACCGGGAGGTCATGTAGACACCTCGGGCCGTCTCGGCACTCGCTCGGGGCCTCTTAAAAACACATGCTGGAGGCGCGATCTCGGGAGCAGTCCTGGCCTATCTGGAACACCGTTGGGGCCCTCTTCGGCATCCCTGTTAGACGCTCGATGGGGTCGCACCCCCCCGCCCAAACCACCTGGGAGGGCGCGTTGAGATCGGGTTCACGGGGAGGACGGTTGTGCTCCTTCGAGCCGGGTCTTCAGGTAACGAGCGAGCGAGAATGACGATGGAGGAGAACGGGGTGAGGCAGGTGAGGACGCGGAGGAGGAGAGGAGGGAACAAGCAGGGAGGAGGACGAGTAGGAGGAGGAGGAGGAGGAGGAGGAGAAGGAGGGGTGATGCGGAGCACGAGGACGAGGAGCAGGGGAGGAGCGGAGAGGAGGAATGACAAGCATGTCGCCCTCCAGTGGCGACGTGGGGCCATCTTGAGGCCTTGGAAACATCTATAGGCTATAGGCTGTAGGGGACGACGAGGCGAGAGAAGGCTAGACATCATTGCGAAACCCTCCTCTCGGCTTGTGGACGGTTGTAGCCTCTTCGGCGTATATCGAGGACGCCTACGGCGGATAACCGCAGCCCCCTGCCTTTGGACGCGCACATGTGGCAGAACGTTGTAGTCAGAGGTCGGCCAAGCTATCGGATCATGTGTTCCCCAGGCCGTTGTGGAAACTCCTCGGGGAACACGTGGGGGAGAAACACACACACACACACACACACACATGAGGAGAAATCTCGTCGGGCTCGCCTGTAGGTTCCCTCCGAGGCCTTCTGGGGGGCCTCTCGGACCGTCTCCGGCGATGTTGGGCCCATTTTGGGCCGTCCTGGATGCATCCTGGGGCGTCTTGGAAACATCTGACGGCCATCTTGGCCTCTCCTGGGTCATGGTAGCCGTCTTTGGTACCATCTTGGCCGTCTTGGAGGCCATCTTGGGGCCGTCTGGTCGTTGGGTTTCCCGCTCGAGGACGGCGAAGATGGCTAAAGATGGCCTCAAACATGCTTCCAATACTTGTAATTCAGATGGACCCAGGAGAGCCCACGATGGCCGCAAGATGACTCAAAGAAGACCCAAGATGCACCCACTGGGGGCCCAACATGTCACCAAGGTCTAGCCAAAGACGGTCCGAGAGGCCCCCCAGAAGGCCTCCAGAAATCTCATCTTCCTCTTTCTCCCCCACGTGTTCCCCGAGGAGTTTCCACAACGGCTGGGGGAACCACGTGATCCGATAGCTCAGCCGAACTGTGGCCACAACGATCGGCCACGTGGGCGCTTCCAAAAGGCAGGGGGCGCTGGTGATTCGCCGTAGGCGTCTTCGTTCCGCCGCCCCCTGTTGCTTGCCGCAGGCATGTCCGGCGTGCTGTATTTTACTGGTCCTGTTCTGGAAAGGTTCCCAACGGAGGCTCGGCCCAGCCTTCGGGCCACCCGACGAGACCGGAAAATCCCAAAAAAAATCTCCCGAAGAGACCCAACAAGTTCCCAGCTCGGTCTTCCCTCTCAAGACGGCCCCAAGATGGCCTCCACGACGGCCAAGTTGGTATCAAAGACGGCTACGACTCCAAGACGGCCCAATATGCATCCAGGACGGCCCAAGATGGACCCAAGATTGCCGGAGAAGGCCCAAGAAGTCCCCAAGAGGCTTCCGAGAGAGCCTCCAGGAGAGCCCGACGAGATCTCTTCGCATGTTCTTCTTTCTCTCCCACCTTTTCCCCGAAGCGTTTCCACAACGGCAGGGAAAACACATATGATCCGATACATTGGCCGAACTCGAGTCACAACGTTCGGCACTTCCAAAGGCAGGGGGCGGTGGTGACTCGCCGTAAGCATCTTCAATACACGACGAAGAGGCCACAACCGTCCACAAACGAAGAAGGAAGGTTCCGCAATGATGTTTACCTTTCGCGCCTTTCGCCTCCTACAGCCTTCCGAGGCCCCAAGATGTACCCACGTCGCCACTAGAGGGCGTCGTGCTTCCCATTCTCCTCATCACCCTCCTCCTCCTCCTCCTCCTCCTCCTCCTCCTCCTCCTCCTCCTCCTCCTCCTCCTTCCCCTCCTCCTCCTCCTCCTCCTCCTCCTCCTCCTCCTCCTCCTCCTCCTCCTCCTCCTCCTCCTCCTCCTCCTAACTCCTCCTCCTCCTCCTCCTCCTCCTCCTTCCCCTCCTCCTCCTCCTCGTCCTCGTTCTCCCTGTTTGGTACTTCCTTTCCTCCTCCGCTTCCTCGCCTGCCTCATTCCGTTTACCTCCTTTGTCATCCTCGCTCGCCCGTTACCTGAGGACCTTGCTCGAAGGAGCAAACCCATATCTTCCTTGAACCCGCCATCAACGCCCCATCCCAGGGGGGTTGGACGGGGGGGTGCGCGACCCCATTGAGCGTCGAAGAAGGTCGCCGAAGAGGGCCCCAAGAGTGTCTCCTCCGAGATCGCGCCTCTGGCATGCCTCCAAGAAGCCCCGAGCGAGCGCCGAGACGACCTGAAGTTTCTACATAACGTCCCAGGGATACCCCCGAAAGGCCCGAAAAAACAAAACAAAAGGGAGGGTTGTGCAAGGATCTTGCCGAGTCGATTTGTTGATTCAGAGGCGGCGGGTGACGGCCCAAAGAGGGGGGACGTCTGAAACAGCCAGGGGGCGGGGTCTGAAGCGCAGACAGAATCTGAATCCAACGATCATGGCATGTTCGTTTCTCAACCTTATCCGTTTCCTCCTCCTCCTCCTCCTCCTCCTCCTCCTCCTCCTCCTCCTGCTACTCCTCGAACGTGGGGCCGTTTTCGGGTCCTCTGTCGAATCGGGACCTCTTGAGCTGTCTGTGCCGTCTTGGGCCCCCCTTGGGACTTTCTTTATCCGTCATGACCCTCTGCAAACCCTCTGAGCCCCTCCAAGAGCCTCCTCCTGCTCCTCCTTTTCCTGTTCCTGTTCCTCCTCCTCCTCCTCCTCCTCCTCCTCCTCCTCCTCCTCCTCCTCCTCCTCCTCCTCCTCCTCCTCCTCCTCCTCCGTCCTCGCTATTCCATCCTCCTCAACTTCTCCCGGGAGTGCTGCATGTCAGGCCTGTCGCGCTGCAGTCGAGGGTCTGCGCAACGCCCCAGCGCGCAGTCCCACTCCCCACCCACCCCGCCTCCGCCCCCCGGAACATGAACACAAACAGATCTAGGATCTAGGACGAAAAAAGTGCACCCCGGGGAAGCGGTCGAGCCAACGGGGGCCCGCGGATGGAAACAACCAATCCGTCGGAAGCGTGGGTCCCCCTCATGACGTCTGAGCCTCCCCCGCCGTCCATCCGCCTTTCACCCTCCATCCATCCACCCTCCAGCCCTCCCCCCATCCCCCCTCCACCATCTCTCCCTCCATCCTCCACCCTCTGTCCCTCCCCCACCCTCCAACCTCCTGCCTGCTTCCTCCTTCACAGCACCCCTCGTCGCAGCTCCGCTGCAACTCCTCCCCGGGCACCGCTGTGGACTGGTCGTCCCTCTTGTCCTTCCGGCCAGCGACCTCTTCTCGCAGCTGCTGGAAACGCTTGCAAGAGATGCTGCCTGCACTGGGGGCGAGGGGGAAGGGAGGAGGAGGAGGACGAAGAGGATGAGGAGGAGGAGGAGGAGAAGGAGGAGAAGGAGGAGGAGGAGGAGGAGAAGGGGGAAGATAGCAACGGGGGAAGGAGAAGAGCAGAAGAGTATGTAGTTGTCTCTCGCGGTTCGGCTCACATGCGATCGGATTTGCTTGTGTTCTCGAATAGCCCGAGTAGCGGCGCGGTGGAAGCAACAGAGGGGGGCCGGGGGTGACGCTGATGCCTGTTTTACAGGTGGCAGAACCGTTGGCCTGTTTAGGCAGGGGGCACGGCCACTCCCAGGAACTTGACGCCCCCTCTTGCCACGACAATGGGTCACCAAGGAAGCGGGGCGGAGGCCCGGAGGCGTGGGGCGCAGATCCCGGGGCCCCCTACAGGACGCCGCTGGCGTCGAGGCCTCGCCCCCGCCCCTCGCTCCTGCCCCCCAGCCTTCCGCAGTGGGGGGCGCCCCTCCCGCCCTGGACCCCCCCTGCCGTCGCTGCGGAGAAAGGAAGCTTCAAAGGCGAGGGGCGGGCCCTGCGGCGGCGCCCCGCGGAGGGTGGGGACCCAAAGACCACTCCGCAGGCGCCCCAGGAGTCCTCGCGCGGGGCCCCCGCCCCGAGCGGCCTCGCGGGGCCCCGCGCGCCGCTGCAGCCACCTCCAGCCAGGCCCGCGCGGCATCGTCCGAGACGTGCCCGGGCGGGGCTGCCACCGCGGCGCCAGGCGCGCGCGCCCGCAGCCTCCCCGGCGGCGCCCAGCTGCAGTCGCCCTGTCCGCCGCGGCCGCCCCCTCCTCGAGGCTCGACTCGTACAGTTTTCTGGGGGGCCTGCACTATCTCGTCGAGCACGCGCCACCTCGGGCGCGCGGCCGCCACGCGGTCCCTGAGAGACTCGTCGAAGCCCGTCGTCTTCATGCTCCCGAAGTCGTCTGCCTCCTGGCTCTCATCGCACGGTGACCAGCCCAGGCGCGGCGCCACCTTGTGCGACCTCAGCCGAGAGCTCGACGAGGAAAACTGACAACGGCCACTTGGTCGGCATGGCCCTTTCACCGCGCAGGAGTTCCCAAAATTGTCTGTCGGTGCCCTCTGGCTAGGCAGCCCAGGGGCCGAGAACAGCTTCGCGCAAACAATCGTGCCGGGGAGGTCCAGAGTCGCGATGGCCCTGTTCGAACCATCTCAGTTAACCCACGCCGAAGGACACCTCTCCTTCCCCACCTCCAGCTCGCGCCAACGAGCTCCTCGCAGGCTGCCGCTCGGCGAGGCACCATTCTCAAGCCGCCTATCCAGCGCCGCCCCCCCCTCCGCCTACGCGCCCGAGCGGAAGTGCCCAGCGCCTCCGGATTTCATCTTGATGGGCGCCTCTAGCATTCGCCCACTGCCCAGCCGCTTGCCGACCCACGCCGGCACGAGCCTCGTCGCCCACGGCAGGGGCCTCACGACGCCGGCGAGCCAGGCGCACACGGGCCCCAAGAGCGGCCCGTCCCAAACCAGGGACACTGCCGCGAAGCCCAAGGGCCCCAAGCCTGACGCCATCTCGCCCACGTGGGCGGCTCCGCGGTCGACCGTCACCCCACACCAGGCTGCCGCCAAAGCCGCCCTCGCCTCCGAGAGGCCCATGGCGCACTTGGTGCAGTCGCAACGGACGGAGGCCGACCCAGCCCACCTTGAGGCTGGCCCGTCTTTTGGCCCACTGCACTGGGACGCCGGAGACGCCGAGTAGGACGACGATGAAGAGCGCTGCCCATCTAACCCGTCGCCCCGCCCCGCTCGCCGCCAGGTCGACGGCGCAGGGGGGCTGCTCCACAGGCCAGTCGCCTCACAACAGGCAGAGGCTCTTTGGTAGTCCGAATGATCTGACCCATCATTCTGAGGCGCTGGATACGCCGCAGGTGCCGACGGCGTTGTAATCGATCTCGCCGTCGAACTCGCAAGCAAGCATGCCCCCCTCGACCACACGGGCCTTGACGAGCCGACGCGCGCCTTATCGGCGTCGGTGACCGATGACTTCGCCCCGGTCCTCGCAATAACTCGGGAGGACATAGCTGTCTGCTGGCCTCGGCATCATCTATCGGCTCCTGCAGTGGACACCGTGGTTAACGGCGACCTCACGCGCGCCGTCGTGCACGAGCCTCTTCTTGCCGCTCGCGCTCTCCAGTACCGTCAGCGCCGCCATGGTGCAGTTGTCGCGACAGCGGTTGCGCAGCTGCTCCTTGGACATCCAGATCACCCTGTCTGCCTCCCCCTCGTCCGCGAGGTCTCCTCGGATCCAGTCGCTGCGGTCTTCCACGCCGCTGTCAGCGGCTGCTTCTGGGGCGGCCAAGTGGCCGCCTCCTGGTCGAGGCGCCACTTCGCGAGCTCCTTCAAGAGCTCTCCCTGCCGGGGCATCTCGCCCAGCTCCTTCATCAACTGTGCGCCGGGGTGCCGCCGGCAGGCGGGGGCGCATGGGCTGCCCCCCTGCGGTGCAGACCGGGTCGTCGCCGTGGCCCGCCCGCCCCTCTGCTCCCCGCCAGCCTTCGGGGGTCCTCCTGGCCGCCTCGTGGACCTCCTTCCCGACGAGGTCGGAAGGCTCGCTCGGGTCGGTGCCGGCCCAGCGCCGCTGCACCGCCAACTCGAACGGCGCCCTTTTGCCCTCGGTGAAGGGGCGGGGGAAGGGCTGCCGCTCTCCGTCGCCAAGCTGGGCGTTCGTCCAGCCGCCGTGGTCGTCACCGTCGCGGCCGTGCTCTGCCCCCCCGCGATCTCCGTGGAGGCGCTGCTGTCCCCGCCGGTGGTGCGGCATCTTTCCCGTCTTCCTCTCCGACGGCGGCCCCCGGAGATGCCGCCCACCACGGCCGCCCCTCGCTGTCCACGGGCGCCGCGGCCCACCCGCCAGCGCAGGCCTCGAGGGCCGCGCAGGTCTCGGCTGCCACGCTCGCCGCCCTCTGCACCGAGCTGCGGTTCACCGACACCGGCCAGAGTTCGCCAGGTCTGGCATGGGCACCGCCTCGTCCCGCCCCAAAAGGGCCTTCACGCAGCGCAGCACCTCCGCGAACCGCTGCTGGAGCCCAGAGACCACCGCGTGGCATGTCCTCGCGCAGGCGTCCGCGCCTCCCGGCGACCACCCTGCCCGGGGAGCCGCGCCAGTTCGCCGGGCCCCCCCCCTCGCCGCCACGGCCGAAGGGATCGTCGCCCGCCCCGAGGGTCCCGCCCAGACGCTCTCACGACCTCCGCGGAGAGGAGAAGCTCGGGCCCTGCGCCCGTGCAGGCCGCTGGGTGCGGCATCCTCCGGAGCACCTCCTGGCCCGCGCACGCTGCGCCTGCACGCGCGGCGGGCCTCCGCACCAGCTCCTGCCCCGCGTCGGCGCACCGCGGCGGAGAGTGGCCCCTCCCCGCAGTCCGCGAGCTCCAGCCACAGGTCGAGGCCCGTCTGCATCCGTGCTGGGCCCAGCATGTGGCACTCACGAGATACCGCACGCGGCAGCCCTGGCATCCTGTGCCCCGCTCCGCTTGTCTTCGCGCGGGGCTTCCACAACTGCTGGGGGGACGCATGGTCCAATAGCGTGGCCAAACTTGGCCCAAGCGTTTGGCCGCATAGGTGCATCCCAAAAGGCAGGGGGCGGCGGTGGTTCGCCTGGTCGTCTTTGATAAATTCCACGAGCGCCGCTACCTCTAACTTCTAACTCCATAAGCCTCCTCCCACCGACCCCCGATCCGGTCCTTCATTCCTCATCGTCCCCTCCGCACTGCTCCTCCTCCTCCTCCTCCTGCTTCTCTCCTCTTGACCACCACTCAGTGTCCGATTCTTGCACTTGCATCGTACCTTGCTTGGCATGGTGCACGATGCGCAGTATCGATTATCTCGCGTAATCAACGAACCTCTGCATCAAGAGAGGCAAAATCGCGTGAGACTAATTCGCAGACCTCCGCAACCATTCAACCTTTGTCTGATAGCATCCAGACATTGCCTTCGCACAGCAATCGCACGATTCTTGACGAGCTCACTCTGGTGGGAGCCGATGGGGCGGCGTAAACTGATTCAACATACTTATTTGCACATGCATAACATACAACATGCCCTGCAGGTGACGGCAAGTGAGGGAGCCAGGGGCCCCGGAAATCGGTGGCCCGTCGTGACCCCCCAGCGTGGCCCCCCCATCCTGGAGTGTGCAAGGCTGCATGTGTAGGGTTTTCCGCCGCAGGGGTGTCCTCTCTGGCCGGTGGGACGGGACGCCCTGGACCCCGGAGGAGGAGGAGGAGGAGGAGGAGGAGGAGGAGGAGGAGGAGGAGGAGGAGGAGGAGGAGGAGCAGGAGGCGGAGGAGGAGGCGGAGGAGGAGGAGGAGGGGAGCGGGAGCCACTGCCGACGCACCGACGGAGCACAGGGATCCGCTCGAGCGAGAGAGCCCGCGTGCCCCGCCCGTTCTATCCGGCCGTGGCAGCGAGAGCCTCGACGCAGAGGAAGCGACTGTGAAAGGGCCCCAGGACACACAAATAAATACACACAAATAAGAATATTCCCATATTTTCCCATATCTCCTCGGTTTCTGTCTTCCCCCCCACTTCCCATGTTTGCCCATGTGTTCTGGGTGTCTGTCTTCCCCCCCACTGCTCATCTTCTCCCATATTTTCCTGGGCAATCGACGAGTCCTTGTGTCTGTGTGTTGTTTCTCCTCCTGCATGGACCTGGCATCGGCGACGCCTCGCCGACGGCTCGGCGACGAGCCCCCGCGGGCGAAGCCCCGCACGCTCCTGGGCGGGGTGGCCTTTTATCGGGCCCCCGTCGGCGAGGAGTGGGCGATTGGGCGTCGACGCTGCCCCCGGGAGCTGTTAAAACCCGCCGCCGTCACTGATGTCTGCGTTTGGCTGTATAGGGAGGGAGGGAGGGGAATAGCAGGGAGGGGAAGAGGGTGCGTTTGGCTGCAGGGAGGGGGGGAGGGGGGAAGCAGGGAGGAGAAAAGGGGTGCGTTTGGCTGTAGGGAGGGAGGGGGGGGGGAAGCAGGGAGGAGAAGAGGGTGCGTTTGGCTGCAGGGAGGGAGGGGGGGGGGAGAGGCTCAGGGCCTGAGCCCATCCCCCCGAACGCTGCTCCTGGCCGATGACGACATCGGCGTCGCCGTCGCCGTCTGCGAATCGCCGTCGCCGCTGGCGAGTCGCCCTGCCGCCCACGCAGAGCGAGCGTGACTTGGGCCGACGCGATGGGCCGAGGCGGCGGGGGGGGGCAGAGCGGTCTCTCCGCACTCCGAATAGCAGCACTGCGTCTGGGCCTGAGGGTGAGGACGACGCTGACGACGAGGTCCCCGACTCCACCACCGTGTCCACCCCTCTGGCAGCACTGCGCCAGCCTCCTTGGAGGCCTCTGGAGGTCCCCGGCGGCAGAGATCCATAGGCTGGGATCCGGGCCTGGGCACGCCCGTGAAGCCTCGAGCCTCAGACCTCCATGGACCTCCGGCGCCGTGGCCCATGCACACTCTGTACGTCGCAGCGCGGCAGAGGCAGCCCGCACGCGCGGTCGGGCAAGCCGGGTGACGGCATTGCGAATTGCCTGGATGCACGAGGGGAGGGAAGGGGATGAGATAGAACAAGAAAAACGGCACAAACGCCAACTTTTGGCGCTCCGCGCGGATCTCTTGGATCTGCGCTGGACTCCCTTCCCCGGCGCGCGGAGCGCGCCAGGGGCGGCGCCGGAGGCGCCACCAGGGGGGCCCAGCGCGGATCCAAGAAATCCGCGCGGAGCGCCAAAAGTTTATGAGTTTAAGCCGGTGGTCTTCCTCGAAGATAGGAGCGGCCGCGGGAGGCGTGGCGTTTGCACACGCGCCGGCCCCCAGAGACTTCCCGGACCCTCCTCCGCGTCCCTCCCCGTCGTCGTGCTCTTCGGCGGTCCTGGGGAGCCGGGCCCGAGGAGGCCGCGCACGAGGAGGATTTCCTCCCGCCGTGCCCTCTGCGCGACGACGGAGAGGCACGAGCCCCCCCTGCTTCTCGCCCTCGCTCGGACGCCCCTTCCCCGTGCCTTCGTCGGCCTCGCGCGCGCCTCTCTCGCAGGAGGGCCCGGGATGCTCCCTCGACGGCCCTCGCCGAGACACGTGCACGCGCGCGAGCGCTGCCGGGACTCCTGCCAGCAGCAGGACCGGAACCCAACCGAACCCACAGCGAGACCGACACCGCCAGGCCGCAGGCGGCCCAGACGGGCGCTGCGGCCACCGGCCACCGGCCGCACCGACCGAACGCAGCCGCCGGCGACACGCAGCCGGACCGACGGAGCCGCGGGCGCGCTCTCTGCTGCCGCCCGCCCCCCGGCTGCCCCGCTGCCGTGCTCTCGTCGGCAGAAGGGGCAGTAGACAAAGGAGTTGTCGCACTCGGGGCAGGTCCACCTGCGCGGACCAGAGGAGGAGGAAGAGGAGGAGGAGGAGGCGGAGGAGGACGAGGGGAGGAACAAGAAGAGGCGCCGTGCTCTACTGGGAAGCTGGCAAAACACATGGCTGGCCTAACATGGCTGAACACATGGCTACGCGGAGATCCGGCGGAGGCTACCGGAGGCCATATGGGATGCACATGCGGAGGTCTGGCGTGCCCGGCCATAGATGGGGGAGCCAAAAGGTACCGAGACCGATACTCCCCAGACCTCTCCTGGGGTGCGTTCTGATCAATTTCGTGGCGAATCCAACGGTGGCGACGAGGGCCTCCGAGGAGGTCAAAAAAGGAGGAAACGGGCGAAGGATAGAGGTGTGGGTACTTGTCCTGCTCTGAATAGCAGGGACGAGTGCTGGAAAAACCTCTGGCCGCATGGCCGGCTCCGTAAACCCTGAACACAAACATGCCGAGGCCTCACCTCTTTTATGACTAGCTACCAGACCACCCCAGCCCGACCCGAAGGCCCGCATTTCGCGCTGGGGAGGGGTGCGGGCTTCATGTGTTTTGTCAATGCTCCCCGAACCCCCCCCCTTCTGGAAATGGGGGGCAAATCGGGGCCTTCGGGTTGGGCTGGGGTGGTCTGGTGGGCGGCGAGCCTCCGCCCGCGGAGCCGCCCGCCCCCGCGGAGGGGCGAGGGTGGGCCGCAGACGGGGCCCGTGCTGGAGCGCGCCGCACGGTCCGGATGCTCACCCCGGGGGCCTCCCTGAAGGCACTCGCTCCACTCGTGCGCCGAAGCTGCGCCGAGCGCCCGTCGCTCCGAGTCGACCCTGAGCCGAGCCCGAGTCGGGCTCGAGCCGGACCTGCGCCGAACTCGAGACGCCCCGGCGTCGAACTGGAGTCGAGCAGATCCGCCAGGTGGGCCCCAGGAAGGTCCCCAGGACGAGCATCTCTCACACTCTCACCCAGGCTGGCCGCGCCGTGTGTGCGCACCCAGCTTCGAGGTGCGTGCATGAGGGGCACCGATTGGGGGGGGGCACTGGCATAGGGGGGGATGCATCGACCTGGAACCGGCGATACATCGCCGATAGATCGGCGACGGGCCTCCGATGGTGAACCCGCACCTTCATGGGCAGGCTGGGGCCATCGGGCCCCTATCGGCGATCAGTGGGCGACTGGGGGTCGATGCACACCCCCTTGGAGGAGGAGGAGGAGGAGGAGGAGGAGGAGGAGGAGGAGGAGGAGGAGGAGGAGCAGGAGGAGGAGGAGGAGGAGGAGGAGCAGGAGGAGGAGGAGGAGCAGGAGGAGTCCCCCCCTCTCGTTGCCCCCCGAGTGCACGGGGCCGCGGCCAGGCCAGGGGGCGCCGGCGGGGGGGGGGGTGGAGGCGCCGAGCCTCGGAGGAGGCACGGCACACGGCAGGCCCGCGCCGTGGCGGCTTTGCCGCTATATGGCTGGCTGCCGGCGTCGCCCAGGACCGCCTCTCTCTCTCTCTCGCTCTCTCTCTCTCTCTCTCTCTCTCTCTCGCTGCGAAGCACTCACGACAGGATGCTTCTCTTGATGTGCTCTCGCTCGCGGACCTATGCTGGCACGGGCCCACGCAGACCCAGGCCCGTCTGGCCGCCCAGGATCCTGCGAGACCCTGCATGCAGGGTCCTCCAGGATCCTGCGCCCAAGCCCGGGTCAGTGCACCCCGGGCCCTGCTCTCGCTCTTGTCCGCCCGCCCCCAACTCTTTGGGTCACGCGCGCTCCTCCTCCTCCTCCTCCTCCTCCTCCTCCGCCGCCTCCTCCTCCTTCCCGATTGGCGGAGATCGTGCAAGGTCGGCCAGTTCCAGGCCACTGGCGGCGTTGTACCTTGAACGCCCGCACTGGGGTCATCGCCTGCGCCACGAAAACAGAAACACTGACACCCTCCGACGAAATCTGCGAGTACCTCCTTGCGCATGAAGAATCCCTGGCTCGCAGTGGTGATCAAAACGCCGCCACCCTCCCCCGAGGCCCCGGAACAATCCAGCGTTAGGTCGGGCATGTCCCCCTACAGGCGGATTTTGGACGATGCATACAAAAATCCCCCCCAGGAAAAAAATATCCAACGAAGATATGCAAACAAAAAGGCTTACAAAAATCGCCCCTGGACTCTGATTCTGATGATGTCTGAATACTCCTCCTCTAGAGGGGCACGCCCGACTTAAAAATCCAGCGGAGGGTGTCTGCGAACGTTTTTTTGTTGTGTTCCTGGGCGGCCCGCCGCGCCGGCACGGCGCGCAGAGCTGCAGCTACTGAGGGGCGCCTCGAGCACGGCAGCGCGGGCTGCCAGCAGGCGCCCCCACCACGGCAGGCCGCCCTGCCCCGGGCGGGCCCCCGGCTGCCCGCGAGGCCCTGGTGAGACGACAGCCAACCCGTACAGGGCAGGCTTTAATACATGGGACGTTTCATACATTTGATTTTGAAGACATGATTAATTTACAAATAAATGCATACATAAATGCATGCTTGATTTTCATACTACATCCCTGCATCTTTCATATATGATCCGCACGCGGAGCATGTATTAAAAACGGCACTGTACAGTAAGGATGCGCAGCAAGGAGGCAAGGGCCTCCGGCGCCCATGCCGAGGCTCTTCGGGCGGGGCTGGGCTTCAAAAGCGGTTGAGGGTGGGCCGGGGATGACCGAAGAGGCAAGGATGCAGGGGTACCCATGGGAAGTCGCTCATCCTTACTGTGCGGGTTGACTGTAGACAGGCGCGTTCCACTGCTCACAAAGTAGCTACTCGCACATGGCCTGGATCCGCCACAGGGGATCTACGATTTACTATACAGAGGCAGACGTATGGTTTCCTGACGTTTGCGAGTAGGCACTTTGCGAGTAGTGGAACGCGCTCGGCGACTGGTGGACCCCAGCGACCCGCGAAGCCCTGGTGCACCTTGGGATGCAGCGAGATCGACGGCAGACGTGCCCTCAGATTCCTTGTCCCACGAACCTGCTGCACTACAGATGCGGGTGGGAAAGAGCGCGTCGGACTCTGAAGTGGGAGGGCAGTTGGTGCAAATCGACGCTCGACCCAATCCGCCATCGCAGTGGACGGACAAAGTAGATAGGCATTGATTTCCCAAGTATTGAGCAGGGACCGACCGTCCAGGCATTCCCATAGTCCTACCACGAAATGTTCTTAAAACCAAGAACTGTTCTAAGAACAAAACAGAGTTCTTAGAACAGTTACCTGATGTGCTAAAACAAAACACTACGAGCCAAACATGTTCTAAGAACATTTCGTGGACACCACAAAAGCTTCGTAGAACATTGCATGGTAGGGCTATAGGCACGCCAGGGCGCTTCGCCGCTGCTTGAAAGTAAGAGGCACCCCACATGCACGTGGCCAACACCCCGGCTTTCGGCGGCGGCCAGGTACTCGCACTGGCTCCGATAGTTCTGGCGATGCCGGGGCAGGCGTTCTGTCACACGCAAGTCTGCCACTTAGGAATGGTCGACGACGCAAGATTTAGGTCGGGCCTGTCCCCCTACATGGGGATTTTGGACGAAAAATTAAACATGCATACCCAAAAATACTCAAAAAATAGTTCCCAGACTATGTTTTAACTATTTTTGAATGTTCCCCTGTAAAGGGACAGGCCCGACTTAACGCTAGATGGTTTTGCCGCATGCCCTGGGGCAACTATGGCTTATCCGGCGGCTCTCCCGCACCATTGTGCAACCTCTGGGCGGCGACACGCCAGAAAACTCCGCAATGACATTCCCGCGCTTGGCTCTGAATCGATATGGGCGATGCTGGACACCCTGGATCCCAAAATAGCGACGTCTCTCTTTTCCTTATGCAACAACCCCAACGTCGTTTTACTTCCGCCGCCCTCCTCTGGCCTTCCGCCGAAGGCGAGACGCGACAAAGGCGAGGACCTCCTCTGGAACGCGCCAGACCTCGTGAAGGCGGTGCGTGGCCTTCCGGGGGAAGAGAGGCGGGGAAGGGAGAAAGCGCGGAGAGCGGGGAAGGAGAGGGAGGGTAGGAGGAGAAGGAGCAGCAGAGGAGGAGGAGAAGAGGACAAGGAGATGACGAGGAGAAAAGGAGGCGGAGGACAAAGAGCAGGCGGAGGAAAAGGGGAGGAGGAGGAGGAGGAGGAGGAGGAGGAGGAGGAAGATGAAGAGGTAGGAGGAGGAGGAGGAGGAGGAGGAGAGGAAGGAGGAGGAGGAGGAGGAGGAGGAGGAGGAGGGAGGGGAGGAGGGGAAGAAGGGGGGGGGAGGAGGAGGGGGAGGAGGAGAAGGAGGAGGAGGAGGAGGTGGAAGGAGGGAGGGAGGGGAGCAAGAGGGGGAGGAGGTGGAGGAGGAGGAGGAAAATGGGAGGAGAAAGGGGAAGTGGGCAGGAGGGGGGAAGGGGAGGGGCCTGGAAGGGGGCGAGGGAAGTGTACGAGGAGGGCGGCCCGAAACAGGAGACTCCACCTTCACCCGTCTGCCCTCGAGGCGCCGCGCCGCAGGCAGTGCCGCGCCCAGAGGCAGAGATGCCCCGCTGCCGCTGGCCGTGAGGGCGGCACGGCCCGTGCGGTGAGCCCCGCCTGGCCGCGGCTCGCGGGGAGAGCCGCCCGACTGCCCGCCTCGGGTCTGCAGCCCCAGACCTGCTCGCGTCGGGAAAAAAATCCAGGCGGGAGGCTCTTGGCTGCGTTCGGCCCCTGGGGGCCCTGGCCGGGCCTCGGGACCGCCCAAACACGACCCGGGACGAAAAGCGTGTCCCGGGGAAGGGGTCGGGACTTCCAGGGGCGCCGTCCTGAAAAAAATCAGGACGTCGCATGCCTGGGTATGCAAACAGGCGCCGTAAGCTGCGCTTCCGCTCACTGGTAGAGAGACCTGCTCTCGCTTCGCCAGCCCCTGGACACGACGTCCACACTGCCCCGATGGAACATAAGATTCCCACACACAAGGGAACACCGACGGGCAGCCGCTTTCGACTATAGACCGGAATACCGCTCGCGTCGTCTCGATACTGCACATGGCCGTGGTGGAGCTCGGCAGCACATGCTCTGAGATCCACCCCTGGACCCGCGCCCTCTGGGCCCTGTGAACAGGCGTCTTCTCTGCTGCACTGCCCTGCGTGATCGTAGACACTCGTCCGAGGGAGCTGTTGGCAACTCTTCCTCCTCCTCCTCCTCCTCCTCCTCCTCCTCCTCCTCCTCCTCCTCCTCCTCCTCCTCCTCCTCCTCCCACTCCTCCTCCTTCTCCTCCTCCTGGTCCAACTCACCCGCAGCATCTCCATCTCCCCTCTTCTCTCGCCACCTCTCCTCGTCGCTGCTATTATCTCATGGCTGTTGCTCATACATATCCTCCCCTGCTGTCGTGTCCCTCATGCTTATCTCCTTCATCCTCCCCTCTTCTTCTTCTTCTTCATCATCATCATCATCATCATCATCATCATCATCATCATCATCATCATCATCATCATCAGCATCATCATCATCATCATCATCATCATCATCATCATCATCGTCAGCAGCAGTAGCATCATCATCCCATACCCCTCCACCACCGTCATCATCATCATCATCACACTCATCACCATCATCATCATCATCATCATCATCATCATCATCATCATCATCATCATCATCATCATCATCAGCAGCAGCAGCAGCAGCAGCAGCAGCAGCAGCAGGTACCGGGTCGCACGGATACGTTCCGCGCGGGGCATCCGCGAAACAAACGCCCCGTGTCCGCGGGGTCGCGGCCCCAGGGGGTACCGCCCGCGAGGCCGCGGGTGCGGCCACGCCGCCGCGCCGTGTTGTCCCGAACGCGCCCAAAAGCAGACGAAGCCGGCACGGCGGCAAACCCCACGGCGGACCCTTTGGCGGCGCGCACAAGGGGGTGGGGGGAGGGGGGAAGGCTTCTTAGAAGGAGGCTGCTTCTTAGAAGGCGCCGGCGTTGCATCTGTAGGGAAGGCCCCCGCCTTCTAAGAAGCAGGGGTGCTTCTAAGAAGCCTTCCCCCTCCCCCCACCCCCCTCTGCGCGTGGCTGAACCCTGCCGTCCGAGGCGAAGTCTGCCATGGTGGCCACGGCGCCCTCCCAAAGACGCAAGGCCGCGCGTCGGGACAAACGGCGCGGCGACAGATGTTTTTTGCGCACGGAGTGTCGGGGGGATTCCACCTCCTCTGAGAAGTGCCTGCGCTTTTCGTGCCGGCGCTGCTGCGTTGTCTCCCCGTCTCCCGCGCGCGCGCGCGCGTGCGGGGCACCGCTCGCGCGCGCGTGCGGGGTAGCGCGCCCCGTCGCTCTCTCCGCGGTGGCGGCGGCCCCCCCGCGCCGCGCCGCGCGGCGGCGCTCATCGCCGTCTTCCGGCTCTCCCGCAGGATTGCAGTCGGCGCGAGAGGCACCCTGCCCGCCCCAGGGGCGCCTGCGCCGCTGCCGAGCAATGCTACGCACGCCGCGCGAGGACTGACAACGACTGAGGGCGGGGACGACGGCGACGACGACGACGACGACGTTGCCAACGACGCCAACGACGCCAACGACGCAAACGACAACAACGACGACGACGACGCCGACGACGACGACGACGACATTGCACGCCCAGCATCGGGCGTGGTGGGGGCCACCCGCACTTGGACGTCGGCTGCTTCGGGTCGACCCAGCCTCCACCGCTAACCGTCGCGGGCTGGGCTGTCACCGCCGTCGCAGCCGCCGTCGCCGGGGGGAGGAAGGAAGAAGGAAGAAGGAAGAGGCGAGAGGCGAAGGAGGAAGAAGGAAGGAGAAAGGAGGAAGCAGGAAGGAGGAAGAAGGAATGAGGAGGAGGAGGAGGAGGAGGAGGAGGTGGTGGTGGTGGTGGTGGTGGTGGTGGTGGTGGTGGTGGTGGTGGTGGTGGTGGTGGTGGTGGTCGTGGTGGTGGTGGTGGTGCTGGCGGTGGTGGTGGTGGTGGAAGGTGACTTGGCGGCCAGCGCGTGCTCAATATTCCCACTGCATCACTCGCGGGCGCGAGACACGACACGCGAGGAAAGCCAACGGCATTGCGCCGACGGCCGGGCACACATGTAAGCTCGGGCTGCGTTCCTCCCTCTTCCTCCTCCTCCTCCTCCTCCTCCTCCTCCTCCGCTCCTCCTCCTCTCCTCCTCCTCCTCCTCCTCCCCTCCTCCTCCTCCGCCTCCTCCTCCTCCGCCTACCTTCCTCCTCCTCTTCTTCTTATTATTATGATTATCATAATTAGTCCTCCTCCTCCTCCTCTCCTCCTCCTCCTCCTCCTCCTCCTCCTCCTCCTCCTCCTCCTCCTCCTCCTCCTCCTCCTCCTCCTCCTCCTCCCCCTACTGCGACATTGACTGCGGCCGACGGCGGGACGGAGCCACCGCCGAGCGTCGGGCGGAGGGCACCTCTGGCCCACAGCGGCGATAGCCTCGTCGCCGTCGGAGCAGCGGCGGGCAGCGCGGCGGCGAGCTGAGCCTGCACAAGTGGACCACGAGTGGGGGAGGCCCGCTCGGACAACGGGCGAAGGGCACACGTGGCACAACGGCCGAGCGGCAGAGGGCAACGTCAGAGCCAGGCGTCGCCACGGCGCATGTGTGTGCCCACGGGCGGGACTCGATGCCGCGAGCGTTGGCACTGGGCCGCCACGGGAGGGTGTCCCTCCCCACGTGGGGGACCTGGCTCCCACCAGGTGAGGCCAGCCACTCACCATGTCACCCAGCGCAGGTAGAGGTGAGGCAGAGAAGACGAGTGAAACCTCCTGGCCGCAGCCAGGGCCTGCCACCAGTGGCGCCCGCAAGCGCCAGCAGGCGCCAGCGGCACTGGGCACTGGGGCACGGCGCCCAGGAAGGCAGCAGAGGGCGCCGCCACGGCTGCCGCGCCTGGCAAGAGGTCTGGAACGGCGCTGGCTCCCGCATGGAGGGCCGCGGCTCGTGCCGGCTGCGCGGCAGCAGCAGTTCGGCGGCGGGCGAGGGGGGGAAGCGAGAAGGAGAAGGCCTTCTCAGAAGGCGTCGGGACTTATCGGAAGCCCTCGCGCCTTCTGAGAAGTTTTCTGTTCTGTGTCTTCGGGGAAGGCTCAGGAAACTTCTCATAAGGCCGGGGAACGTCCGAGCCTTCTGAGAGGGCACGCCCCTTCTCACTTCCCCCCCCCAGACATGCGACGTCCTGATTATTGTCAGGACGGCGTCCCCGAAGTCCCGACCCTTTCCCCGGGACCACCTCTGTCGTCCTGAGTCGCTTTCTGACGGCCCCGAGGCCCGGGGAGGGCCCCCTCCTGGGCCGAAAATGGCCCAAAACCTCCCGTCCTCATTTTTGTCCCAACCATCCTGTGGTGTTGGGAAATCGTTTCGAAGAGACAGCGCCCCGCGTCTCACCTCCTCCCGCTGCCCCTTCCTCCCTCCCCGCTGCTCCCTCCCCCCTCCTCTCCCTCCTTGCCTCTGCTCTCCGCATGTTCATCATTTCGTCACACCCCTCGCACGTTTTCGTAGCCCCATAGGGAGCTCATCCGAAGGCTCCAGTGGCACACGCTGCATGCGTCAACGCCACCCAAGACAGCGTTTCGTGGCCCCATAGGGAGCTCCACCGAAGGCTCCAGTGGCACAGGCCGCCTGCGTCAACGCCACCGAGGCCAGCGCTTCGTGGCCACATAGGGAGCTCCACAGGCCGCATGCGTCAACGCCACCCCAGCCAACGCTTCGTGGCCCAATAGGGAGCTCCACCGAAAGCTCTGGTGGCACAAACCGCACGCGTCAACGCCACCCAGGACAGCGTTCCGTGACCCCAGTGGGAGCTCCATCGAAGGCTCCAGTGGCACAGGCCGCATGCGTCAACGCCACCGATTTCGGCGCACCCCTCGCACGTTTCGCGGCCCCACGGGGAGCTCCACCGAGAGCGGTACCCACGATGCGGCACCCGCAGCTGGGGGAGCAAAGGGAGGAGGGGGATTTCGAGGCGAATCCAGCGGTGCGACGAGGGCCTCCCAGGAAGCCCAAAGAGGGGAAATCGGGCGAGGGGCGTAGAGGTATGGGTACCTAGTCCTCCTCCGAGGGAAGGAGGAAAAGGAGGATTCGATTGCGCGTCGTCGACGCAACCAGTCCTTCTGCCAACCGAAAGGATCGGTACTGTCGATCGTCGGTCACCAGCTTCTGCTCCAAAGCACGACGAGCTGAGCCCAATACTTACCAGGGCTGCGACATGAAATGTGGGCCAGCTGCCTCCACGATGGAGGAGGAGAGCAAAGAGCGGGGGGGGAAGAGCGAACAAAGGAGAGAAAACTCTGGTGGGGACCTGGTGGGGGAGGGGATGGAAGGGGGAGAGAGAAGGAGGGAAGAGGAGAAGGAGGAGGATGAGGAGGAGGGGGACGAGGAGGAGGAGGAGGACACTGGGCCCAAGAGACGGGAACGCAGGCAGCCAAGACCAGGGACGAAAGAAAGCCCGCCCGGGGGCAAGAGAGGCCAGCTGCTCATCAGGGGAGAGAGAGGAGCAGGACATGGAGCAGGGAGAGGACGAGGCGGAGAACGGAGAGGACGACGAGGAGGCGGCGAAAGTGAGGGAGACGACGACGACGACGACGACGACGACGACGACGACGACGACGACGACGACGACGACGACGACGACGACGGCGGCGACGGCGGCGACGGCGGCAGCGGCGACGGCGACGGCGACGGCGACGCGGCCCAGAGCCCCAGCGGGCCTCCGCCAGGGCACTTGGAGCACCACACGAAGCTGGCGTCGCGGCGCAGCGTCCGCTGCAAAGCAGCCGCGCTGTACCTGCGGAGAGCGGGGCGGATGGAAGGACGACGCCGAAGACGGCAACGACGAAGGCGACGACGATGATGACGACGACGACGACGACGACGACGACGACTGCGACGGCGACGACGACGAAGATGACGACGGTGCCGCCGACGCCGACGCCGCGCGGCACCTCTGTGGAGGGCAGGGGGCGACGACGCCTCAAGCGGAGACGACGAGAACAAAGATGATAATGACGACGCCGACGAAGAAGAAGAAGAAGCCGCCGCCGCCGCCGACGACCCCGCATTGTGCTTGTGGATGCACCTGTCTGCCAAAAGGAAGTAATGACTTTAGCAACTGCAACCTTTGGCTGCACGCAAGAGTGACTCGAGGCAAAAGGGGCCTTTGGTGGGCGGTTTTAGGGGGCCGCCACGGGGGAGGAAATCAGAGTGCGCCAGTCATTGCTGGGGGGACCCCTGTCAGCCTGCACCTGAGGACACCGCTGTAAGCCTGCATCAGGTGAGCCAGCGAAAGGCAACTCTGACCCGTAGCCAAAACCTGGGGGTCGCCTCCACAACCACGAAGTGGTGGGCGGGGACAGGTTGTATGCCTTCTCGTTGCAGGTGGCATGTGGAAGGCTCAAGCTCGCAGATCAGACCCCAGGTAACACGTGTCACCAGCAGAAGAGAAGGCATGAAACCAATCGATGCTCTTAGATCTTCCCGCTCGCTTGACACCCAGCAGTGACGACCCACTCTGTCTTACTGTCTTAGCTGCTACCCGATCCACTGACCTCCCCAAGGACGGCCACCGCCGCTCTTGCTACCCGAAGCCGTCCGGGCAACACAACGGAACACAACACGAGCTACCCAAACGG